TTATCTGGAGTCTTTGTTGATTCTAGGCCTGTGGTGCGATGCTCGATTCAGCTTTTAAAAACATGAGCAAAAAGCCTGCTGCATGCTCAGAGATCTGTATCTGCCCCTCCTTTCTGACAGCCTCATTCTTCATTCTCAGTCAGTCAAGTGCCGACTTCCACTGGGCTCCTCACCTTGTGTTGACGTTTCCATCATTTTTACACTCTTCACTCAGCAGCCGGCCAGATAAAGCCGGTGTAACACCCCTCTCCACTGGGTGACCCCTGACTGAGAGGGAGTCAAGTAGCTTAAACAGGCTCTACTCAGCTCTCAGAAGGTGCTGAGACGGTACATCAGCTTTAATGGGCTCTATCACACTTCATTTATTTACTTTTTCTGACAAAGACGAGATAAAGCAGCTTAATTATTACTTTTTAAGCAATAAGATAAATAATCGTTAGTTGCAGCAACTACTCCTTAGATGTTTTTTCACTTCTTCTAAGAAAATAAAACTAAATAAAGTTGTAAGAGCCAAAATATGCCTGATCAGGTTTGTGGATAGTTTATCAGGTCTCACGGTTAGTGCTCCATTCAATAAATAGGAATCACGTGTTTCTGTCCAGGCCTCAGGTACACGTTGTCTCTGACCCGTCTCTCCTCTTCTGTCTGTCTCTTGGACCACTGAGGCAGTGTGTTGCTGCAGTTAGTTACTCGTTCTGGATTTAAGCAGCATAGCATTGAAATACAGTACTCGAGTAAATGTACATATGCAAACACAAAGACACACAACCCAGAGGTGGCTGTGTGTCAGGGTCACTCCATCATCATCACTACAACAGCAGCTCTGCTGTTTAGGATACACAGTGACACAATGCAGCCAGGAAAACAACAATCTCAACACACACACACACACACACACACACACGTATACTGGGCAGGAAACAGCAGTCCCAGTCACAGATTGTACAGCAGAGGGGGTGTTGAACTCCATAACAGGAAAGGCCGGGGACAATTGGGGGAGGTTTACTCACAGCAGAGACACGGTTCAGACAGATCAGTCCTCCACCGATCTGTTCCTAAACTAGTTCCTCTGGACGCTTACAGTACAAACACTCAGTTATCATAGACGGTTTATTTCACCGGCTCAAAAAGCACATGAAGCCTTGGATGTTTTGTACAAACAGCCCCCATATACCAGGAACACTCTCCTTATGGCGAAAATATAACAGTAATGTGGGGAAAGTAGTCGTTCTTGCAGCTTAAACTTTACAATATTTAGTGCTGCATCACCTCAAACACCCCTGGAAACATCTCACTGACCCCCAAAACTTCTAAAAGGACGCCTGGATTGTCCTCAGTGGGTGAACACTTGCAACAAACTCCTGATGACCACTAACCTCTACTGGAAACTCCTGATGACCACTCTAACCTCTACAAGATGCTTTCAAGCTAAAAAAAAAATAAAAATCTAGGAACCAAAATATCCTACAAGAACCCCTGGAACCTCCTCACTGTCCACACAATCTGTTTCAAGGACCCCTGGAAACTTCCCCTCGGTACACTTGACTCCAGGGTGAAATATGAAACAAGTTTTGAAAAATGAAAAGTGATGATGCTCAAATTGGTCATCATACTGTAGCTTCAAACTGACTGAAGAGCTCAGTTTTGTGAAGATGAAACATCAGGAGAAAGATAGTCCACAACACTCCAGACTCCAATCCTTTAAATAAACTTGCTTTTCCAACTAGAGCCACTTTCATTCCCTCGCTGTTTCCTCCCGAGGGTGCAGCAAGTGTCGCATCCAGACACATTTCAGAATAAAACTTGTGGAAACTCACCGAGCAGGACTTGGTGTCGGGATGCGGATCTCTGGACTCTGATATTCCACCTCAGCTGGACGTGACGCGGCGTCTACAGGTCAGTTCAGTGTCGGGTCACCTGAAGGCTCCACGCGTTATAAACAAACTGAACACATGTGTGCTGAGCCGCTCCTTCACCCTCAGTCTCACCGGCCCTCCGCTGCCTGCTGCTGCCTTCACGTACTGCTCGGAAGATCCGACTTCGAAGTTCTGTCTGTAGGACGGTTTCAGCCCACGTTTCAAATCGGACTACATTTGCCAAATTAAACCCTTTTAGGTTATCAGACAATGGGCACAATAGCAGCATGAATTAAGATTTTTTTTTTTTTTATTATAGATAGGCCTGGGCTGCCTACTTACACTGCAGCAAAGTGATTTCTGTAAAATTGTAGCCTATAAAACAGAATAATAGCCTATAACAAAACTGTCTAGGACAATATGAATACAATTTTATTAAATTAAAATGAAATAAACTTTCAGTTAAGATTCAACAAAAGCAGTTTCAATAGGCTAATATGAAAACATTGTCCATAATAAACAATTTCACTGGAACAAAATAAATGGAGATTTTTGTCAGTGTGAGACACAGACTGTAGGTTTGTCAGATGGATGAACATCAGTGTGAAGCCGTCAGATGCTTTACTTACATAAAAGTGAAAGATTCTGCACAACAAACGTCATGCATTCAAAATTTTAAAGTACACAAGCTTGAGTATAAAAAACACAAATACTCATTAAGAATAATGCATGTGACTTGTTGATATCATTTTAATGTATCTCGTCCAGATACCAAACTGCTTTGCCACAACACATTTTTTTTTTAAAGTATCTAGTAATGTATTGCAGTGGAAGTATACATCTGCACAATACTCAAATACTCATGTACAGTTGAGTATATGTAGTAGTTTTTTTCTCAAACAGAAGGTCAAACTTTGTAAAGAAAGTGTGTTTGCGCTTGAAATCCAAGACTGTCATGGTTTGATGATAAAAAACTAGGCTGGGCAAGTTACTGAAACATGTCCCCGTTTCTCCCCTGATTTGTATTCGTATCAGTCTGTGTTCACTGAATTATCTGAGAATTGTTTGGTAGTTTTTTTGTGACTTACTTTTTTGTTTTTCTACATGAACGCCTCAAGACAAGTAAGTAGACACTGGTTTCTGTAGCGGTTTCTCGTGGTGGAGTTTTCATGTTTAATAAAACCTCAGGGCTTCTTTCAAGGAACATTTCTGTTCAAGAGGTTAAGGATGGATTTTTGGCTCTTGTTCGAGTTGCTGTGTTTCCCACAGCACATGGTGTCAGCAAACATGCCTTCAGACATCCTGCAAGCCTTTACTTTATAACCCAGAGCTCCATCTTGTGGGGACATTTGTTAACACAGGACCGAAGTGAGGCAGGCTTTCACAATGCCCTAAAATGTAGGCAGAGAGACTGCGGTCACTTCATTTGGTGGCTAAAGAGGCCTTACAATATACACTCACCTAAAGGACTATTAGGAACACCTAATTTCTCATTAATGCAATTATCTAATCAACCAATCACATGGCAGTTGCTTCAATGCATTTAGGGGTGTGGTCCTGGTCAAGACAATCTCCTGAACTCCAAACTGGGATTTTCACGCACAACCATTTCTAGGGTTTACAAAGAATGGTGTGAAAAGGGAAAAACATCCAGTATGCGGCAGTCCTGTGGGCGAAAATGCCTCGTTGATGCTAGAGGTCAGAGGAGAATGGGCCGACTGATTCAAGCTGATAGAAGAGCAACTTTGACTGAAATAACCACTCGTTACAACCGAGGTATGCAGCAAAGCATTTGTGAAGCCACAACACGCACAACCTTGAGGCGGATGGGCTACAACAGCAGAAGACCCCACCGGGTACCACTCATCTCCACTACAAATAGGAAAAAGAGGCTACAATTTGCAAGAGCTCACCAAAATTGGACAGTTGAAGACTGGAAAAATGTTGCCTGGCCTGATGAGTCTCGATTTCTGTTGAGACATTCAGATGGTAGAGTCAGAATTTGGCGTAAACAGAATGAGAACATGGATCCATCGTGCCTTGTTACCACTGTGCAGGCTGCTGGTGGTGGTGTAATGGTGTGGGGGATGTTTTCTTGGCACACTTTAGGCCCCTTAGTGCCAATTGGGCATCGTTTAAATGCCACGGCCTACCTGAGCATTGTTTCTGACCACGTCCATCCCTTTATGGCCACCATGTACCCATCCTCTGATGGCTACTTCCAGCAGGATAATGCACCATGTCACAAAGCTCCAATCATTTCAAATTGGTTTCTTGAACATGACAATGAGTTCACTGTACTAAAATGGCCCCCACAGTCACCAGATCAACCCAATAGAGCATCTTTGGGATGTGGTGGAACGGGAGCTTCGTGCCCTGGATGTGCATCCCACAAATCTCCATCAACTGCAAGATGCTATCCATCAATATGGGCCAACATTTCTAAAGAATGCTTTCAGCACCTTGTCGAATCAATGCCACGTAGAATTAAGGCAGTTCTGAAGGCGAAAGGGGGTCAAACACAGTATTAGTATGGTGTTCCTAATAATCCTTTAAGTGAGTGTATTTTACCAAGCAGTCTTACACGTTGCCAGCAATCTAAAAATATAAAGATACTGATGGCATGACATGATATATTTTTAATATGTAATATTAGTAGATTGTATGGATGGTTCCCAATCTAGGAGTCGGGCCCCTCCAAAGGGTCACCACATGAATATCAGGGGTTGTTGAGGAAATATGGATACAGATACTTGGAAAAACATTTTGTGCATTAGCTCAAAACTTTAAATACAGACAAGCTCATTTTCTTGCCTGTTTAACATCCTGAGCTGTTTCTTTAAATGTGAAATAAGATTAAACAAAAGCAAAAATATCTAATAAATGTCTAAAGACAGACAAGTGAGGTTGCTCCCTCCGAGGTGTGGTTAGTGTGGAATATTGCATATTCCTGTATCCCTCTAATCAATGTCACAGAGCTTTGACTTAACTGTGAAAAACTCAAATATTAAGAGACCATTTATAGATTCAATCCATGATCAGGAGTCAAGTTATGGAGGATTTACAAGGAGAAGGAATGGAAGTTGCTTTTTAAACACTGATTATTTTCCCAGGTGTTTTAGAAGAAAGCTTTTTGAAATGTTATTACAGGTGATGATAACATGAAAGACCTTTATTTGTAACATGTTTACTGAATACATTCCACAGGTTTAATGATGCTATATAATAACAGGCAATAAACAGATGTAACTGGATTACATGACACACTCAACAGAAAGTGTGCAGAGGTTTGTAAAAAAAGAAAAAAAAAAAGGCTCTTTAAAAGTGGAAGTTTGGTTAGTTACCTAGTTTTTGTTTTGTTTTTTTACATATAAAATATTCAACATGGTAAAATCCTTAAACAAACAGCTGAAAACATAAGAGGTCAGACAAAATGAATGAATATTTGCTGCACATGTAAACTGAAATAGCAGCTGCTGGATGGATCGTTGTACATATTAAATGGAATGCATAGAAACCTGAGCTGAAAGGAATAAAAACATTTCACTCAAACATACAAAAACATTTTTCATAAACAGGCTGGAAAGATGAGCCCAGCATCAAATTCTTCTGAACAAACTGTGAATTTATCAGTTCTACAGATGATTACTGTGACAGAAAGCTCATCTTTATCTTTAGAAACATGTTGGCACACAACATTACTTTGTGAGCACAGAAAAAAAGTTCCAGTCTGAACAAACTGACTGACCAACATGTAGCCAGATGTAACACTAGTCCACGGTTGATATTTGATATTTTCAGCTCTCTAAATATCACTACTATAGAGATTTAGTGAATACATGTCGGTGCATTAAATGGTTGTTTCAGCTCTGTGCTCTTTGTGCCACCTATATGAGCCGTATAAACATGTTAACAATACAGTCGCAGGATAAAGTGTCCAACACTTTGGAATTACCTGGAATCTTAGGTCTTCTGAAAGCTCTTTTCTTCGAGGCATAGTTCACATCAGGCAATGCTTCATGAGAATAGCAGGGCAGCTCTAACCAACACCTCCAATCTTGTGTCAGTTATTGGCTCCTGACTCCATTTAGCTTTAGGAGAAGTCATTACTTTCCCCAGTAACTAGTAGTGTAACAGATTACTTTTCTAAAACAGTAATATTATTACAGTTACTAATCCAAGTAACGCTGCGTTACTGAACGCGCCATACTTTACGTGCTCAGCTGCAGCGGACTTTGTTGTTCATGTCCGCTGATAGCCAAAAGCTAAAGGAAGAATGGAGACCGAGAGGCTCTAAGTAGCTGCTGCCATTATTGTGTCACAGTATAAGATGCAAACAACATTGTTGTTTGTTGTAAACTGTTGTAAAAGCTTTCAACCGCAAACAATTCTACATCTGAAACTCCGAGACTGCCTTGTTGGCTGCTGAAGGGGGGTGGTAGTGAAATATTTCCCATGGGGATAATTATCAACGCTGACCGCCACATATTGATTTCCTATTGTTTTTACTAGGCGTATTTAAAATCATATTTGAGGAGCATATATTTGTGCAGCACCCCCCCTCTGTGTTTGTCTATTTTTGTGACTCAGATGAAGATCAGATCACATTTTATGACCAATTTATGCAGTAAAGTCCACGTAATTGCAAAGGGTTCACAGACGTTTTCCTGCGACTGTATGTCTAAGTGTTAATTATAAAATAGTACACGCAGAGGGATATTTGGCAGTAAAGACTTTGTTCTCCATTCCATAGACGAAGAAGCTGTAGTCTTTTCCACTGTAAGTGTAATAAGCGTGAGTCAGGGGCACCAGCTCGATGGTCTGACGCTACAGGGAGATAAAAAGGCAGTCGTGGCATTAGTAACACTCAAACACCGCTCTCATATAAATGTCCTGCTTTCTAATCTGCCTTTTAAAGTTGTATTATTTAGCGCTCACAATGTATGTTTGGGGTACTGCTGAGACGTCTTTTTCACAGCTTAATTCAATGTATATGATAATGTTTCTGTGGGAAGTCTGAGAAAAGGGGCCCCTGGATGAATACATGTCAAAAGGCTCACACCCCTGCTACATAAGAACAAGACATCCAGACTGAAAGAGACACAAAACGACTACAAATGAATTTGTTTCACGCTTCTTTGTGGTGTGTTTCAGTGACATGTTGCAGGTTAATAAACCCAGAATAATCCATCCAGGCAGGACTACGATGAGGCTTCTTCACTGAACTTCTCTTTAAACTGTAATTAATGCACTTTCTTCAACACAATAGAGGGACTCTGGCTTTCAATGAGGAGAGTATAAATCCACACCTCTACTTTACACAAGTGATTGCTTCTTGAATGAAGCTGTAGGTGGCGAAATGGGTTCAATTCCCACTGTGACTTCCACCAAAGTGTCCCTGAGCAAAGCACTTAACCCCTGGTTGCTCCAGAGGCGTGCGATCTCTGACTTATATAGTCGCTTTGGATAAAAGCGTCAGCTAAAAATGCTTAATTATTTTAATTACAATTTATGGCCGTTGTACCTGTTGCAGGATGCGGCTGGTGGATCCGAAGCGATTCAGGTGTTCGTTTATCATTTTTGTAGAAACATCACAGATCTCCTCATCGGGGAAACCCTGGATAGGGTATACCTGGCAGGAGATAGAGGGGGAAAGAGTCTAGAGCCATGCTATGCACCTATTTCAGGCTGTACTTCGGCACTGGGAGGCTTTGAGCTAAATGCTAACATCAGCATGCCAATATGCACACAACAACAATGCTACCATGTTGATGTTTAGCATGTAAAGTGATAGGTAGGTTCTGTAGCTTTATCACTACTAAAGAGCCCTTTCACATTATTATATTGTTTTCACATTGTTATTATAAAAGCATAAATTATAGCTGCTTTAACATTAGCATTAACATTATAATGATGGATCAAGGCCCCTGTGGGCATATACAGCTTTGGCTGGCAGGGCAAGTAAACTAAATAAATCAATAAAGAAAACACAGTAGGTTTGTCTGTAGTTGTTTATCTGTCCTGTCTTTTCAGAAAGAACAGGCGTTAAGATGCTGACAGGACAGCTGGTCCTGATGACGGAGATTGGAGTGCGTGTTGGATGGATTCTCCCTCAGCGTCTGATGTGAATTCATAATTAAAATAAAATTATTTCATAAAAGGTTTTTTTATTTACCAGAACATTCTCGTCGACGAAGAAAGGATCTCCTGTCACCTTCTCAAACTTCTTGTCAGGGAAGTCAGGCTGGCGGTCTGGGATGAAATCAGCTATGTCGTTCTTCCTACACACACACATTCAGAAGAATGAGTGTGAGTGAGTGTGAGTGTGAGTGTGAGTGTGTGTGTGTGTGTGTGTGTGTGTGTGTGTGAGTGAGTGTGAGTGTGAGTGTGAGTGTGTGTGGCTTTGACATACCATGTGACAGTGAGCTGGATGAAATGCAGCAGGTTTTGGCTGCCGTGACAAACAGAGCAGGTCCTGTAACCTTGGCCGTGACAGGAAAAACACCTGCAGGAGGGAGGCAGAGATATTTTTCTGCAGCCTGTTTGCACATCAATGTCATAAGAATTGTCAATTTTTGCAAAATAAAAGGAAGAAACAAGCAGAGCTGTCATGGCCAAGACACTGAAATGTTGCGGAGGAAAGTACTGCAAGAACAGAGTGCATGCAGAGCACGAGGGGGTCCCTGCCTGATGTTTGAGGAGCATGAAAATGATAGGAATCATATGGCCTGAGCGACGTGTTTGACAGCTCCACTCTTCACCATCCTAATCATCAAAACACCACATGAGGGACTATATGTTTTAGAAGAATGGTGTCCATCCCCCCCAGTAGAGCCGCAAAGACTTGGGGTGCTTTCCATTTGGCTAACATTCTCCTCTCTCACCTCCTACAGCCTCATCCCAAGAAGTACAAAGTATCTTCTGGACCACTTGTGATTCCCAGGCCGCCTTTTGTACCCGCTGCAACTACAGCTTGAAAAACGCATCTGCAAGACGGAAAAGGAAATTCGGACAGAGAGGCAAAAGAGAAAGCAAGCAGTCTCCCACCTTTTGCGACCTCGCCCATGACAGGAGGTGCAACGCTTGTTCCTGGAACGGCCGTGACCGTGGCAGAACGTACAACGCTTCTGCAAAACAAGATGAGGGTCTGAGTTCGTGTCCACCAGGAAACTGCCTTAACAGAGGCGGCATCGTTGCCATATTAATGTTTGCTGAAGCTACAGTAAGTGTCTGGTTTTCCTGTTACCTCCTGTTGGGAGGATCATGCCTGCAAAATATTTTGTCTTTTAAATCAAATCTGGTAAATCTGGTCCGCTAAGCACATGTAAAATACCACAAAAACACAAATTTAGGACAGATAGTTTTACTGTAGAACCATATGCATTTCTGAAAGCATTGACAAGGAGGTGTAGTAAGTTACTATGTAGTAAATCCTTACGAATATACAAGCCCTCTCACCTGGCCTCTACCCTGGCAGTTCATACAGCGAGTCCTTCCATAGCCGTTGCACTTGTGACACGGCTAAAACACACACACACACACACACACACACACACACACACACAAATGCACGTTACTTTAATACAAAGAACACAAACAAGAACACAAACAAGTTGGCAACAACACTATCAAATCAGGAAAACAGAGAAAGCTCTACTGTCTAAAACAATAAAAGAGGAGCTGTACCTTCACCAATGATGAGTGCGGCACACGGACCTTCTCCACCACGTCGGTGTATCTCAGAGGCACAGACACAGGAATGTCCCACGGCGGAGGACTCATCCCATACTGAGGCCCGTCGACCACCTGTCCTGATAAACAAGACAATATAATTAATTTTTTGCCATAGCGACATCTCTTTAGAGAAGGCAATGCTGGTTGGTCGGTCCACAGTTTTGGTGCAGACATTCATGGTTCCCGACATTATGTCTCCATCTTCATCTACCACCACCCTCAGGTCATATTTTTAAGCTGTCCAATACTTTGTTTATGTGTGTGCTGTTAGTGGTTAGCTCACTTTTGTCATGGTGACACATGTTTGGCAACAAGAGTTGCCTTGTCTTCTGCTCCTCGGATATTTTTGAAGAGCTCTTTGAAATCTGAGATTACGGAGTTGAGCTTGTTAAATTAGATGATCTTTCTGATGTGGTCCATCCCTCCGTGTTAATCATATTTTAGTTATGTCTCATGATAAGAGAATTCTTTGTAGCCTGTTTACTTTACTTTGTAACGAGCAAATGTCATCAATAATGTGTTAGCTCGGAGTAAAGTTTTACCATTGTAGGGTTCAAACTGCCAGGCACTGGTTCTGGTCTCGGTGTAGGTCTCCAGTCGATACTGCAGAAAGAAAGCAATCAGAAAACTGGATCGACGCGAGCACTTGAGAATCATGTTGCCCCACGATCGGGCCAATGGATTCCCAGGAGCATTTAACGCGCCTTGAAAATCATTTTAATGTTCATCAATCCATTTGTGCCAGACAAGGGCGTCACATTGCGTTGAAAGGTGGTGGGGATATCAGGGCTTAGCTTAGGGTCGTGATGACACACTTAGCTCATGAGATGTGACGATGCACAATATTGGAGTCATGGGAACAAAATGAAAAGATATATATATCAAATATGAGCGGGCGGTCTAGGGGTCCTCCCCCAGCACTTTTTAAGAAATAAAGACTTAATTTCCTGCATTCTGGAGACATTTTCTGCACCAATTTCTGGTGGAAATGTCTTTATTCATATGAAGAGAAACAAAAAATAAGGGTGGCAGGTGACAATTCAAAATATAATGCAATTTTCTTTTTAGCTTAAGTTACATTTTTGTTCAATGCACATTTGTTTCTTCTACATCATCGCATTGCATGTTTTCTTATTGTGCAAATAAACCTTTCTCAAGGTTTGTTAGTTAACATTTCTTGTTACAAGCTACTTTTCAGAACATTTTTAACAAATGCTTTCAAAAAGTGGTGGGGACATGTCCCCAGCGTTCCCAGCCTCCCCTACGGTGCCAGAGATATGCTCCTACCCTGTACACAGTGATGGGTTTGAGTTCTTTGAAGGTGAGGTTCCTGGCAGGTTTTGAGCTGTACCTCCATTTTGATTCGACAAACTTGAGCAGGGCGTCTCTGGCAACATCCTCAGAGACTGTGGGGACCCTGGAGGAGCGAACACACACACATACGTACATCTTTCATCATGCCTTCATATTTTTGTCCGGAGACATTTTCAATTTAGAATTACTGATGTGTGTGTTACCTAACATTGGGCACCAAAGTGTTCCTGTTGAGTTCAGGTTGGGGGTTGTAGGCAGGGGGAGGTGGACACAAAGGGTTTTCATCCTCTGGACATACACAGTAACACAAACACAAAAACACAGCAGGTGAAGGTTGGGGAAAGTTAAAACGAAAGAGAACAGAAGAGAACAAAAGACTCACCTCCTCCTTTGTGGCCCTGGTATCCATGAATGTCATCCAGCCAGCCAGGAGGGGGCGCTGAAGGTCCCTCCTCTGGTATGTTTGGATCAAACACGCCTGAAAAGATGAGGCAAACACATCAAGTACTGACATTTCTGACCCGCTGCAGTTTTCTATTCTTTCCTTCACCAGGTGCGTTTAAATCCATCTGTTTTTTAAATCAATACATGAAACTATCAGAAATGTCACATTTCCACATGGTTTTCCATCGTTTGAGCTTTGATTGGAGCTCTTTTCTGGTTGTGTCTTCTTCTGCGATGGTTTAACAGCAAAGACTAGAGAATTAGAGCCACCAGCTGTTTATCTATTATTCACATAACAGCAGTGGATGGAAACACGAATTAATTCACCTTTTCTTTTGAAAATTTTATAGACATTCAGGGTGCAACAATTTACTCACATTTTGCCACCATTTTCTGAGATGAGAAACAAATAAAGCCTGATCTTATCTTATCTTATCTGGAAGCACAAAATATACTCCATATTTTTTTATATATTTATATTTTTAAGTATAATGTTAAACACCATGAAGGAGTGACAATTTGTGTGTGCGTGTATGGCCCTATATGCTCACAGTGCAGTGGATAAGACACATGCCTTTGGTGTAAGAGACCCGGGTTCAATTCCCCACTGTGACACCTGCACTAATGTGTCCCTGAGCAAGACACTTAACTCCTAGTTGCTCCAGAGGCGTCTGACCTCTGAAGCAGCTTTGGATAAAAGCATCAGCTAAATTATAAAAGTAATGGAACAGCAATCAGGTAAACTTGTGTTTGATGTCAGTAGAAAATAGTAACGTTAGGATGATCTGGCTAATCTGTCTGTCTTACTAATGCTGACAAAAATGAGCGCGAAATACATCCATATCTTACGTTTAGCCAACGGCAACAACTTCTGTGGGGACCACAGACAATTTATGGGGTCTTCGTCTTCTATAGAGGTCAACCTATTTTTAGGCCGACAGATGGAGCAAACTGTTTGAGGGAGGGAGGACTGTAGGTGTGACTGTGTGGCCATGGCAATTGGTTTACGTGGCTCAAGTGTCAGGTCGGAGGCCCCCTTTGCTTAGGGCCCTTAGGGAGTTGCATGCCGATTTAAGTGGTGCTCCTAAATTGTGGAGTAGTAGGAAATGTTAGTCTGGAACAGGTGAAGTGCAGTTAAAATGCGGTTAAAAAGAAGCTTGCGTGATTCAGTCCTCTCTCCTCCTTTCTCTCCAACGTCCTTCCCCTCAGGCTGACCTCAGAGCTTCTTTCTGTATCTGTCTCTTCAACGTTCAACGCTCAAACAGAGCCGTTTAAAATCTTTACTAAGAGCTTTGTTTTCCTTACGTCCTTAAATATGTCTGGATGTCATACAAGGTCATGTGCGAACAATGGAAAACAACTTTCTCCACTGCATCATGCCCAGGAGGGGTGGACAGTGTTTCTGTCAGTGTGACAGTAGGAAGGGAAGATGCATTCTTTAGAAGAGGCTGGCAGGAAACTGGTTGTAGCCCGAAGTAACAGACGAGGCGCTTTGAACACAACAGGACAAACTTCCTTTCCTACGGGCTTGCGAAGTATCAGCAGATGTCAGTATAGTGATTTACACACTACAGGCCACTCTCAGTCATTACTCCAGCGCGAAGTGTGATATACGTGATGATCTTTTGGTACACCAGTAGAGTATAGCCTCCGGATCAGGCGGGTAGATTAACCTATAACAAGATAATCATGGCCAATCACAGTGGCTACTTTCATCCCCTTTAAACTCACGGCGCTCCCAGTCATCCTGTGGAGCCTTTTCCTCAGGGGACACTTATTGTTGTCTGTAAAAGGCGGAGCTTCAAATATGAATATGCATGAATATGAATGACTCTGTCAAGGTGATTCACATTTCTTGACATGGTGAAAATCCTGCTGTCGCCATGTTTTTTATCACACTGATCCACACGATCACCATGTGCAGTTAAATACCTGCATACTGCCACAACTCAAATGAATATGGAATTAAAAATGTAGTCTTTTGCATTGTTGTATTAATTTATTTCTAAATTTTTTTTTACTTTTAAAATCAGTTAGATTTATAGTTTAGTTTTTTAGAAATTAAATTATCACATTTTATTTATGCACGCTCCCGAGCATCTGAACCATAAACACAGCAACAACACCGCAGCTGACAACATGGAGTCTGCTTGAGTCACGGAGAGACCTCTGCTTTGTTTTGGAACCGACACAGAGTTGGCTCTTATCTTATTAGAGAGAACAGTACTGCAAAGCATGTGAAACATACTGTGATTCTGTGCAGCCTTTACTAACAACTAAAAACCTGAGGAGTCATCGGTCAGATGGAAACCAAGCTTTATGTGGAATTTAAGCCGTTCATTCACAAACACCTCAAACTTTTTTGGTGATCACAATTGCACGATATCATTCTTTTCATCTTAATATATCATGCAAATGCCACAAAACAATGAACACAACAGCATTGCATCAGTCTTAATGTTGCAACATGTCTGGACTGAAGAAAAAACAATGATAAAGACAAAACCACATTGACTGTGCATATAATGTACATAATTTTGAGCAACGAACACACTAGACACGGTGACTTCCGTTCTTGGTTTAAAACAAAAAACAAATTGGTTTCTTCATCCTTGAATTCAAAAAGGAATAATGATAAAATGCCAAAAAAAACAAAACGGTTATTTTGTTTTGAAACAAATAACTGTGGAGCGATTTCTTTCTACTAGCCTACAGTGATACAAGGCAGGGGCAGCCAGCTACTTTAGCACAGATCTGCCACAGTTTGCTTCGTAATGTTTTGATTTATTGTAATTTTACTGATAATCAGATACACAGCTTCTTCACCGTCTCTGTAACTTACGTAACACACATAATATACAATGCAACACACGTTGCAGTGGGAGTTTACCTGCATCTCCAACATGTTCTGGAAAGCCGTCGGATTTTGCCCACTCAAAAGTTTGAGCACACATAAAAGCACAAACCTGGTTGCAATCTAAAAAAAAAACGCATCGCTAGTGACAATTAACTGCATCCAGCCCCTTTCAGAGTTTTTGTTTAATGTCCTTTGGTTGTTGCGGGTGTGTCTGAAAGTTCGTATCAGTAACTCTGCTCTGGCAATATGTTGCAGTTTAGGCAAGGTCTCTTAAAAAAAAAAGGTTTTAAATCTGAAGAAGAATGAATAATTGAATGCAAAATAAAAGTGGACCAAAATATGAATAAAGCAGTTTGTGTGATTTTTTTAGAGAGGTTAACATGAGTGTCTCTTTTACTGAACAAAGTGACCCAAAACATTATGGAACAAGAGTGCGCTGAGTACTCGACCAGCTCTCTGATTATTCAAGGTTTTAAAACGTACTGGACTGGCATCGGCGTACACTCTAGCCCACCTCTCCTCCCACTGGGGCGCACGGCGAGTCACCAAGAAACCAAACTGGCCCAGTGGAGGAAATAACCTCAATGCTTAACAGGAAAAATCCAGTTTGGGACAACATTTAAATAGAGCCCTCTGTCTCAACATCTAGCAATCAAACAGGAGTTTGTATGGCAGATAAATCACAGAAGTTTTCATCTTATCTACACTCTGACAGGGCCACAGTAGACCACACCCCTCCCATTGTCCATGCAGGTTAAACTGAATCTATGATGCAGTGACTTCGATGTTTGCCTTCACTTTATAACATATTACTGCTGCATACTGGTTAAATAAAAGTGCATATGTACTTAGTATGTTTTTCCAACATACCTGCCCTGCAGGTAGAGTTCAGGTTGGTCAGGTGAAAGGTAAAGTCAGCATATTCAGTAAAACAGAGGATCTTATAAACACATGGTCGGACCGCTCCAGCATTGTAAATTCATACAGTGTTGTGCAAACAGCCACAACTGTTAATGTGTAACTAACTGAATAAACAAATACTAAATACTATTTTTGAAACTAAAACATGTTTCTAGTGAGCATAATAAGCGTCAAAATGTCTAAAAGACATCAGCAGGACCTGCCAAAAATTTACAGAGGTTTGTATGAGAAGCTAAATGGAGATATAGTTAAATAACTTAACTCCTACAGCAACAGTCATCTGAAATCCCTCCATGCATCTTGTGACTAATGACCATAACAAGAGGGATACGTGCAGCATTGTGTTTACTTGTTATGGTATTTCACTGCTGCGTGATGTAACATTAAACTTAGGCCACCTTTGACTTCCCTAACTGCAGCTGGGCAGCGACATCAGCAGAATAAATCTCACGAAACACCAAAGAATATAATCTTTTTACACAACAATGTAATATTACATAAATATACACAATAGTGCCTTGATTGAGGCACTTCCGAGGCACCGTGCAGCTATTTAATGTGTGCGTCATGCCCAACACAAACACTTTCTAAACACGGCTACTCCTCAGAGTGTTTTTCATTAGCCGTGTGTTTTCATCAAGCTCACGCTGCCCAGAAGATAAAAATACAACACAGTCAGCGTGTTTATATCACGCAGGACACAATAACTCTGGCCGAGGGTTAAAAATACCAGCGAGAAGGTGTTTCCCCAGAAAGATCTGGGTTGAGATGGACGGGTGTGAGAACGGCATGAGGGAAGGAGGGAGACTCTTTACGAGAAAGAAAAATGAACAGAGGCAGGGGAGGGAAGGGAGAAGGAATGTGAGTGGAAAAAGGGGGGAGGACAAAGCCGAACTGATGAGTTTTTGACTGGACAATACGTCCAAAATGCTCCTGCAGGACTCCTGGTGCCCTTTTCTTGCTTTGTAAACACTGAACACAAGGATCTGCTTCTATATCAATAGTACAACTATTAGTCTATGGACAGAAAACTAACCAGCAACTGATTATCAATTAATTGTATGTCAATGAAATGTATTTAAAATACGTATTTAATTACTTATAGGAGGTATTATGTCATCTGTATTTTGCTGGGCAGAAAAGAAAGATGAAGATGTAGTTTGTAACAAAATACTTTATGGGCTTTATGGTTGTTCAGACCAGAAACGACCAGTCAGCCGCTGTTTGGTCCTACTAGATTCCGGAATTCACACCAACCCAAACGAACACCACCAAGGGGCATGGAGATCAGTCCAACTCCTCTCTAGTCCGAGCTGAAGAGGTGGTCCCTGCTGCTGCCAAGTGAACTCTGGAGCGGATTAGTTTTGGTTCGACCCAAACCTGGACTCAAGACGAAGTGAGATTCCTCCTGAATATTTGGGCCGAACTGAACGCTTCCCTTAATTACTAGAGAGGGTGCATAAGAATACAGGTATTATAAAATAACCCGCGATTTAAAGAGAATTGCTTGCAGCCATCTGTTGAGCAGTGTCGTGAAAAGTTTAATATAACTGCATCAACAGTACATCAAAGTACTGCAGGTAGTTTGGATGAGTTTGTTTATTTACATGCCTAATGAATGACCTGACTGAATAACGTTATTTCCACCACATGGCTTTTGTTTACAATTTTAGTTTTGGCCTAAAGTTGTGAATGCAAATCGGAGCAGATGAAAAATATAAACAAACGCGTCGTGCTCGCATTGGTCCGATAAAGGAACCCGGAACTTTAGGTGTGAACCCGCCATTTAAACCACAATCTAAAGTCCATTCACTGTTACTACAGGTGAGTATTCATGACTGAAACTACAAACTTCAGCCTGAGGGGCCGTGTTATAAACTTAACAGCACTTTAAATCAGTTAAACCAGGACAAACAATGTTAATGTTCCCGCCCGGGTTAACTCTGCCCCCGCACAGTTTATAAAAACACACTCACCGAGATCTTCGTCTTTATCGTCCATTTCTCAGCTGCTTTTAGTCGTTTGACTTTAATGAAGTCCCGTTAACGTGACGCTGCCCTGCAGCGCTTCAGCAACGTTCACGGGGAGTTTCCCGTTATGCTTTTCAAAATAAAAGCCCAAAGAACATTGACACAAGTTTTGCTCGCTGTGATCATTCCTCCTGCTCACACTGGACATGAAAATCTCTCTTCACAATGCAGCGCCAATGTTGAGGAGGACAAAATCCACAGTCTTTGTTCGGTGTAAAAATATATTAAGTTCCAAGTATATGACCAACATATCTCTAAAAATATAAAATCCTTTGTTGCTACTGTGCTCCACATAACAATGCAAAAATTCAATTTTATAAAAAAAAATAATTTAAAAATCCCCCTCTCAGCCCTTGCGGGGTGGTATGTGTCATCTTCAAAGCTCAGGTCCTCTACCAGAGGCCTGGGAGTTTGAGGGTTCTTAGCTGGTTCTAGGACTGCACTCTTCTGGACAGAGACCTCTGATGTTTTACCTGGAATCTGCTGTAGCCACTCTCACAGTTTAGGGGGTCACAGCCCCCGGTGCTCCGATAACCACTGGCACCACTGTTGCTCTTTCTTTCCACATCTTTTCTAGCTCCTCTTTCAGCCCCTTGGTATTTCTCAAGCTTCTCATGTTCCTTCTTCTTGATGTTGCTGTCTCTTGGGATCGCCACATCTGTCACTGCAGCCTTCTTCTGCTGATTGTCGATCAACACGATGTCTGGTTGGTTAGCCATCACCAGTTTGACAGTCTGGATTCTGAAGTCCCACAGGATCTTAGCTCGGTCATTCTCAACTACTTTAGGAGGTGTCTTCCATTTTGACCTTGGGACTTCCAGCCCATACTCATGGCAGATGTTCCAGTACACTATGACGGCTACCTGGTTATGGCGTTCCATGTACGCACTTCCTGCCTGCATCTTACACCCTGCTCTTATGTGCTGTACTGTCTCAGGGGCATCCTTGCACAGTCTGCACCTGGGGTCCTGCCTGGTGTGGTAGACCCCAGCCTTTATTGATCTTGTACTGAGAGCCTGTTCTTGTGCCGCCATGATTAGTGCTTCTGTGCTGTCCTTCAGTCCAGCCTGTTCCAGCCACTGCTAGGATTTCTGGATATCAGCCACTTCTTCTATTTGTCTGTGGTACATGAAGGTTCTTAGTCTTCCTTGTCCTCACCTTCGGGTTTCTGCTGCCTGAGGTATTCACTAAGCCCTTCATCTTCATGATATACTCCTGGATCTTTGTCGTTTCATCCTGTACAGTGGTCTCGACACTCACTAGCCCTCGGCCTCCCTCGCTACGCTTGGTGTACAGTCTCAGGGTGCTGGAAACCCTCCATGCATTGTGAGGAACTTTCTCGTCTTGATGTCAGCGGCCTCTATCTCCTCCTTTGGCCAGTTTATTTTACCAGTGGGGTATCTGATGGGTATGTGTTGATGGCTCGGATCTTGTTTTTCCCCCCATTCAGCTGACTTTTCAGGACCTGCCTTACTCTCTGTAGGTATTTGGCTGTGGCGGACTTCCTTGCTGCCTCCTCATGGTTTCCGCCTATGGCACCCCAAAGTATTTGTAGCTTTCCTGAACATCTACAATCTGGCCTTCTGGTAGTTCAATCCCCTCGGTTCTGATCATCTTCCCTCTTTTTGATACCATGTGAGCACACTTGTCCAGTCCGAACGACATTCCAATGTCGCTGCTGTAGATCCTGGTAGTGTGGATCGGTGAATCGATGTCTCGATCATTTCTGGCATCCAGCTTGATGTCATCCATGTAGAGGTGGTGACTGATGGTTGTTCCACTTTGGAAGCGGTATCCGTAGCCAGTCTTTGTGATGATCTGGCTGAGGGGGTTCAGGCCTATGTAGAACAGCAGCGGGGATAATGCACACCTTGGTATATGCCGCACTTGATGGTGACTTGTGCAATTGGCTTTGAGTTGGCTTCCAGACTTGTTTTCCACAGCCCCATTGAGTTCTTGATGAAGGCTATTAGTGTCCTGTTGATCTTGTAAATTTCCAAGCATTCCAGTATCCATGTAAGTGGCATTGACTAGTAGGCTTTCTTGTAGTCAAGAAAAAGGGGTTATTTATTTATATATAAAATCACAAAGTAAAAGTACAGTAATGAAACATTAAATAGATTATGCTGTATATCGTATATAATGAATGATGATAAAATCACCCAGGATAAGAACTTTAACTCGAAGGAAAAGCCAAAGAGATGTGTTTTAACATGATTATTTATTAAAATTACACAAGTATAAAATATATATTTTCTTTCCCCAGTTTTACTTTGAAGGGAACAACTCTGAACTTCCTGTCGTGGCTCATCCGTTTGTGTCTCACTTGACGCATCTACTTGCCGCGCCCACGCTGTTTACATGTAAACCATGCAGTGAAAAATAAATATAAATAACTATTTCAGTACTTGTTTTATCTTGTAAAATGCACAAACATTTTACAAGATAAAAAGAGTTTTCTGAGCTTTTAAACAGTTTTATTTTTGATGTGAAGTGTTGGTCTGTAATAAATTTACTGTAGGCCCACATAAATCACTTCAAAGTTGTTATTTTCCTTAAATTCAGTCAAGCTAGTCAGCTTTTTGTATCCGGACCAGCTGTATAATTTTAACACGTGTCATTGGAAACCTAGAGCCAAGAGGAGTTAGGACCCACTGACTATTTTATCCCTTTAATAATTGAAGAGGACACAGGGGATATCAGAATTTTTCTGTAAGAATGGTTGCATAAAGGAGACATGGCATATTACTCTCTCCCTCTCTCTTTAAATAACAGTGTAGGCCACGAAACATTTAAATACATTACAAAAATCAAACAATATATTTGGCTTGAATTTTTTTTGTCTGGATATGATATTAAAACAACATGTAAACATTATTTTATCTAAAACAAAACATGGAAAAGTTCTGTTAAGTGTGCATTTCAATTCTACTTTATTTGAAGAGGAAATTTGGAAACTGTAGAAAATCTTTTTAAAAAAAAAGGAGATTAAACGACCTAGTGGGCAACTATTATAATTCCATTATTCATCCGCGTTTCCTTATTTTTGTAAGTGTTGTCTTTATTGTCCCTCAGAATGTGTTTTTGGAGGTGAAAACTGAGATTGTAAGCAAAGTGACAGCGCTTGCCTGGTGCTGTTGCCCAGTTTCCCCACTTTTGTCCTTGGCCGCGAACGCAGCAGTTGACCCGGAAGTTTACCTCAGTTCTTCTCCCAGCAACAAAAGTGAGCTGCTAGCTGTTATTGTGCTGAACTCGGAGACACATTTCTGCCAATTTTTCCTCCTCACATTATCAAAATGGTAGGGTGTTGTGACTTCCCGGCGTGTATTTTCATAAACATGGTCATATCTGCGTTGTGACTGAAAAAAAAAATAGTCGTTTAAACGGGATTTTAATTCATTGCTAACTGTGGCTAGCTCATTTATGCTAGTCGGGCGTTGTCATTTTAGCTCGGTACAGTTCGTTAGCCTTCTGGTAACTTACAAGGTGTTTTGACATTATTGACAGGAGCTAGTATAGTGTTCTTTTCTCCTATAGCTACATTAAATGATGCTAATTCATGTTTCCTGCTTTCCAGGCTGAAGTGGAGGAAACTCTGAAGAGGATCCAGGGCCAGAAGGGAGTTCAGGGGATCATCATTGTCAACTCAGAAGGTAGGAACATACCTAACGTTACAGTTATTCCCCCCCCCCGTCTGTACCATGAAGCAGGATGTCAGGTTAGCGAGGTTTAACCCTGAGTTTTAATTACTTCTTACCTGGGTAACTGACGTCATGGCACCTGATTGCTCCGGAGCATGTTTTTTTATTATTGTTATTATTTTGCAATGACAAACCAGAATCATTGCAGCATCTATTTTTCCACTGTGTACATTCACTTTCCTTCTGGGCCCCGTTTCAGAAAGCAGGTTCAACAAACTCTGAGTGTAAACCTGAACTCTGAGTTTTCCGTTTCAGATTAAGGAGCTTCCGATACTACGATTCACCTTTGGCAACGGGTAAATAAAGGCAGAGCCTCTTTTTTAATCGGGTGGAGCCAGAAATATGAATCCTGCCAACGCAGAGCAGTATAGGCTCTAAAACGCAAGATCGATACGTTATCATTATTACATTTTATACAGCGTTGCTCATTCATTATTTACCAGACTTTCATTCATTAAGGAAATTCCAAACAGCTGGATTCTCCTCCAGCCTGTTATTCATTTTAAACAGCTACAGGCCTGTTTATTCAGCTGGAACCTGACAGGACTAAATGCCAGTGGCAATAACTGAAGATGAAGATATTAATCTAACCGATTCTAATCTGTAGTTTAGGCTCCTCATGGACCTGTGATTGTAAAGTGACAGTCCGACTCAGTTAGGCCTGTTAATGATTTTTTGGTAATGTAAAATGTGTCCAGGTTCAAACCGACTGAAGTTTTAGATATCTATGTTCCATTAATGAAATCTTGCTCATTTTGTATTTTATGAAATGCACTTTTAAACTACATGTATTTGTTTCAGCTGCACCACCGTCATCCTCACTCAGAAATAGTCACATCATATCCAGCTGATAACTACGACAGGAATGTTCAATCTGTGCGACCACAATATGAAATGTTACCGTTCATTGATCAGCGCTGAAGATAAATTTACGATGTCCAACTCTCTGTCCAGACCTCGATGACAGATTGATCATAAAAGCGTCATGTTCAAGATCATGTTTGGGTAAATAGCCTATTTAACCGTGATTTCGATGTCTCTAAAGACGTAACTGTGTTCCAGTATGTGCTTTGATATCGACAGTATGAATGAGGAAATGTCAGACAGCCTCTTCAGGATGGGAGGAGTCAGAGAGAAACTCAGCGTTAGTTGAAGTAAACCTCCTCCCGAGCAGGTTAGGTTCACAGCGTTACAGACCTAAAGTTTATCTGATCTCGCTCTCTGAAACCGAAAACCCAGAGTTTTCCCTCATTCAGGCTCAACCTACTCAGTTTTCACTAAACCCGCTTCCTGAAACAGGGCCAAGGCTATGTTACGGGTGAAACTAACTAACAGTCGAATGTTACAATCGACTGTATAAATGTCATTGCATATTTTGAACATGTCAAAGAAATTGTAAACTTATTAATCTTACATGGGAAATTCCATATACATAAGTGCAAAAATGCAAAGACTCTCCCCAACTTTACTGGATTTCTATACGAATTTGCAGAATCAATTAAAACCCTTAAGCTTATTGACTCTGAAAAATGTGACAGAACTTTGAAATTGTGCAATGAATTCTTCAGAGAGAAGCAATAACCAGTTGTTTTTGTGGTTTATTTGGCAATGTATGGTCTCATTTAGGCTACTGGAAAATGACATCACCAAGGTATATGCAGGGTCTTAAAAGGTATTAAAAGTTGATAAATGAATTTAACTATTAAAGGCCCCTTTAAAAAGTATTTAATGACATTTTTTACAAGTTATTGAATTGTGTGTTTATTTCAATATGTATAATCGACAAGGCATACAACCTTGCACTGGGTTAGTCTCTCAATTAATTCGACTCCCATCTGTGGCGATGAGGTCTTAACATTTATGTAACTTCAGGATTCCTGCACCCTGATCACCATCTGTTTTACACTTTCTTTGCTGTGGGTGATGCAGAAATGTTTTTGTAGACAGATATAATCCTACAACAGAGAGATTGAAGCGCTAAAGCCTTCTACTTGTTGTACTTTAAGATATGACAGTAAGCCTACTCACTGCTTTGAATTGTTTTTATGTTTAATTATATACTGTAAATTTTATTACATATTGCTCCCAGGTCTCTTTCACACATCCTGTCGCAGCTGTTGAAATAAATGGTTTAATTATTGCTTTCACGTGAGGCTAATTATTATAAGAATATAATTATACATTAGAGACTGGTCATGTAGTGCCCCACCTTTTGCTCTTTGGGTTCAGGTAAGGTGAGTTTTCAGTAAATGTTGGGAACTGAAGCTGTGGTTCAGATTGTCTTCTTTATGAAGTTAATTTAGAACAATATTTGGAACATTGACAGAGTTAAATTTATCAGATTTTTGAAGTGACAAGTTCTTGAAAGAGTTGAAATGGCCGCTTATTCAGTTAATGTTGATACGCCAGTACAGAGCTGCTGCAGCTGAAGGAATAAAATGGTCATAAGAACACATGTAAGCAACACATTAATGTATAATCGAACACACAAATGTAATTAAAGTCAGATCTACTTGTGCCCCAATGACAAGAAGGGATACAAGCCTGGTAATTTACACATTCACACGGTTAGAGATTTGCCAGCTGTGCTTTCTGCATGTGGCAGCTGCAGCTGTCTTGCTTCTGGCCTGGATTATGCTTTTAACCCCTTCATGTTTGTCCACTGTGACTAATCATTTTACAATTATATGAAGAGGAGCAAATTATCAAAACATTATGTGGTTCCATTTTTGTCAACTTTGAGGTTTTGGGACATAACTTGATTATGTCGGTTTGACTAGTAGTTTCATTCTTATTTTACGGTAGTTTTGGAATACAAATAAATAAAAGTCCTTTTAGTGAAATGTAGGAAGACTGCATGAAGAAAGTGCAGTAAAAACCTGTAGTGTGCCTGGTGACTTGCGTCTCGACTGAGGACAGGTTATCGTCATCAAAACATTAACAAAAGATCTAAGTCTGTCAGCTGACTTCTTCCCATCTTGACCTTTATTCAGATATTAACCAGGTTACAGATAAATTAAACTTCCAGTAACAGCTTATATAACCTGGATGGGAATTCTTTGCACATGTGTAAATGATCCCGTATACCTCAGGAATCCCCATCAAGACGACCCTGGACAACTCCAGCACAGTGCAGTACGCAGGACTGATCCACCAGCTGGTGATGAAGGCCAGGAGCACCGTACGAGACATCGACCCCCAGAACGACCTCACCTTCCTCCGTGTCCGCTCCAAGAAGAACGAGATCATGATCGCTCCAGGTGAGACGGGAACAAATCAGGACAAATCCGTCTCCAAATGGCAGCGAGACGTTGTAACATGGAAACTATGAAAAGTAGACTTTTAATGTACATCTTACAGCTCTGAAACAAGTTGCATTCCCTTCCATTGCATGCACATTGGGGTTCTGCAACTTGCTTGGGAACCTGAGCTACAGCCGCCCCGAAGTTAGAAATAAAATGTTCCCGTAACACAGGATACAGGGCCCAAGTCTTCAAAAATCAAACAAAATATATGTGAAATCTGTCTTTAAGTTATGTCATACTGATGAAAAGATCTCCGTTAATGGGAACTCGTTTGTTCTCCATGATGAACTTCTGACTAAACAAGCTCGTTAAAGGATAGGTCCACCTTTTTTCACATGTTCATAGATACATTCATCGCTGTAATCAATCCCTCTGTCCACTCTGGCTGTGAAGAGAATCCTTTCCTAAAGCAGTTTAAGTGATGTGGGATAAGAAACTGTTTTTTTGGGGTTTCTTTTTTAAACTGAAGCCGATATGAATGCTTCAGCATCCTGACTTAGACAAATCTAGCGGGGATCTTACAAAGTTGCTGATTCCTCATCTTGGCTCCAGCGAAACCTTCACTTTTACACAGAAACAAGACTCTGTCCTCTGTCTGTTAGAGTGAAATTGCTTCAGGAAGGGATTGCTTTCCAGCCACTATGGACTGAAGGAAAAGCTACAGCGAACAACACTTTCAGTTTACAAGTGGGCATGTCAGTACTGCATACATCCAACCATCTTCAGAGCAGGAAACAAGATCTTGCAAGAACTTTGCATCAGTGTGCATAGAGTTAGGAGTAGGCTCCTTGCGTGGAGCTGCATTGTGGGTTACAAAACATTGTTGTGCTGCCCACCACGTAACACAGAGACGTTAAAAGATATTTCAGTCCGAGACTGTGCCCTGGGAAATCCAGGTCAGGAAATGGCAAAAAAAAAAACAGAACAATCTAGGACTATTCTGTTCAATCAATCCAACCTTTATTGTCCCTTGGAGAAATTTGATTTGCAGTAGGGCTAAAAAAAAAAAAAAAAAAACCACCACAAGCATGCATGCGTGAGACATGGGATACAGCCGTTGCAGTGCGTTGCTCGGTGCAGATTTAGGGAATTAGAAAATTGTAATCTGTTGGTTCTGTTTATAGATGTCTGCCAAAGAAAGCGGTTGCATGCCAATTATTTTGCTGGCTACCTTAATGTTAGACAGCATTTGTTTTGCACCTATAAAATCAACTTAACTCAGGCACAACACCAACCTATTATAGTTGATTACAGTTGCACAGAACTGATAAGAGGCTCACTGCCCCCTTTGTAAACATGACGTCTTTATCATTTATAACTTCTATTGCAGTTTACATCAACCTGGAAACAGGCAGGACAGATGCAGCTCATAATGAAGCTTTTCTGAACAGTTTGGGTGTTGACAATCTCAGAATACAGTGAGAATAATCTGAGTTACTATTGTTGATCATTTTAAAACCTTTGTTATTCAGCTGACCCCCCGTGATTTTTCCAAGTAGGACTGGGTATTGAACTTTATTAATACTATACCACAGTGTTAAATAGAAGAATTATAGATAAGCATTTTTTAATCCCTCAATGTGAGCTATCAAACATCTCTATCAAGTATCTGTACTGGTACTGAAAACTTTTAAAATGATACCGAGCCCAATTTGCAACTGAGATCCCAGTCTGTTTTTGTATGTATTGTTGTACTATTTATTATTTATGGTATAACTTTTTGCCTTTTTCTTCACAGATAAGGACTATTTCCTGATCGTCATCCAGAACCCCTCAGACTGAAAGAATGAGCTGCTGTCCTACTCATTACTCTTCCTTTGTCTTTCATATTTAAACAGCCAAAACATCTTTCTTTGTCTTGCTGAATGAAAAGAACCAGTTTACCAGAAGCTTTTTATGCACTTGCTGTACCAGGAAGTTAACGGCAGAATTTGAAGGTGGATGAAATTGAATCTCCCAATGACCAGATGCGTGAACCCTTACAACAGTCACTTACTCTGCAGGCAAATTTCCCCATGTTTTAGCATTCCAGTCTGGTCTCCCCTCTATGCATACTGTATGTCACTGGTGAATTTCTTTTAAAGTAGTAAGCACAGCTAGGTATTTTAGCACATGGTGAGAAGTGCACACCTGCTAAAACACCTGACAGAAGTAGGAAATGTAAAACTGGACCAGTGCATACATGTCTGCACAGTGTACGAGAGAGAACCCGCAACGCATCTTTAAGTGGATTTTTTTCTTCAGTTCTGTCTGTATGGATGACGATTGTTATTTATTGTTTTGTTGGCAAAATATGTTGCAGTACAGTATTTCACTGGTAAGCGGCGAAGCTACACTACAAACACTTCTCTGCTCTTGCCATGTCAAATCTGATGGTTATTTTTAAACGAATTAAAGAAATAAAAAAATCAAAATGGTTTTCAGTTTGTTGTCGTGTACTTTATAAAATTGTTAAAGGTGGTTCAGGATGCAGAGCGGGTTGCCTGTTAATCAGAGGGTCGGTGGTTCAATCCTCCAGGCTGCGTGTCGAAGTGTCCTTGGGCAAGATACTGAACCCCGAATTGCCCCTGGCGGCTGTTCCGCCAGTGTATAAATGGTGAATGCAGATGTAGTATAAAAAGACTAGAAAGGTGCTCAACTAATATGGAGCATTTACATTATGCCAGTACTCAGGTTTGGGCGAGGTTAACAAAACCATTGATGTTTACTGAATTTGACAATTACACTAAAAAGGTATTTTCAGAGCTCCATCATAGACAACCAAGACAAGCTATAAACCCAAGATTTAGCTCTATAAATGCAAGGGTTAATAGTATTGGCATAAACCTTGCATAATTTCAAATCAGTACAAAATGACAGCGCTGAATGTCATAATTCTAATAATTTATAAAGCACATTTCAGAGATTTGCATCTCAATGTGCTGTAAATAAAATCAAATAAAAACCCAACCAAAACACACCAAAAGCATGCAAAATATAATGCAAGCAATTGTGAAAATATGATTTAACTATTATAATTTCTTAAGTGTTTTCTTGCATGTTGTAATCTAGTTTGTGTTTTATTGTCTTGTGAATGCACTTTGTAACATGTTTGTTTTTGAAGAGTGCTCCATAAATAAAGAGATTAGTATTGTGTGTGTAAAAGATTATAGATTTGAACATAATACTGAAGTACATATATACACAGGAGGTATATACAGGCAAGTTTAAAGAAGTGTTTTATAAGTGGTTTCTTAAAAAAAAAGTTAGAGAGTTTCAGTGTCTCTATATTAAATGTATAAAATACATATTGCCTCATGAGCTGCATTGTCTTCACTGGTAAACCTTGCATTAATGAAGGTTTCGTGTTATTAAAAGTTTATAATAAAGTAGTTCAGGAGATAATTGGCGCACGTCCCCTTTAAATCCCTCGGATGACGTCAGCGCCTCGGCTGCTTGCTTTGTTTGTCCGGAGCTGTTCGGCTTCAGATCCGAAGAGACGCCAACAGACGCTCAGCCGAAACTCTTCCAGTTTGTTTTTGCGGCAGAGTTGCGTTGCAGGCCGTTGTACTGCACATTCACTAGGTCACAACTGTGTAATAACCGCGACAGAGATGCCGTCCGACAGACCCTTCAAACAAAGGAGGACATTTGGTAAGAAAAACCACCGGGGCAGTGTTGATGGTCCGGCTAACGTTAACAGCTGAGCGCACAAGCTAACGTTAGCTGGCCTGCTAGCCGCCTAGCTTACCCTTTCTGTTGACAAGTGTATTTACACGGTGGTGACTTGTTTGTTGTGTTTTTAAGTGTTTAGCAGCAGTTTTTAAAAGTCCGGTTTATATCTCACGTCGGTAGCAACACGGGACAGAAGCTTCTGGGCCTCAAGTTTAGAGATTATTTCATTTTTGGGCAGGTTTTTGGTGCTAATCCAGTGTGAAAAAAACAATGTTAATAAGTTAAGTAAAGGCTATGGAAGCTGTAAAGCCAGTGTCGTTCGGCCTGTAGTTTTTATCTCTTATGGCTGCTGATGTTTAGAGGCCATCTGGGTCACTGTCACTTTAGCCTGGCAAGCCTTAAAGCTAGCAAGGCCTGCCATTACCAGGTTTTACACAACTGGACAAGCAACTAGCCTGGCTATAATCAGCAGTAAACATTCTGTGTTTGCTCAAAAGGAAAACATGGTGCTGACACATTATCCCAGTACACGTGTTCAGTGATTTATGCTGTAATCTGATACCAAACGACGGCCCCTAAACTGGCTAGGGAGGAGCCCAGACTCCATTACATAATCCTGTCATACAGAGAAATTAGGGATGAGCAACAGTGGAGACAGAAATACTTCATGCGGTGTTGCATTTGGTTATAACCTCCTTATAAAGTTCTCACTGACAAGATACCAGAGTTAGTCAGTAATAATGTTAAACAGCTGGTCTTGTGCTGGACATGTTAATCTGTTTTATTATGTGGTTCACTGCTGTGTCACACTGACACACATTACTGTGGTGTTGTATAACAATAAAATACCCTAACTAGAGTTAACATATGTTAAGTAGTTGTGTACAGAGAAATATTTTATAATAACATAATATATTGTATGTTACAGACATAAGAGGAGCTATGCATGAACAAGTATGTAGTAAATGTGTTTGTCAGGAAGACAGACAAGACAAAGAAATTCCTACATAGTGATGTTTTTTGAGTTAACCCTTACACCTGTGAAGCTCATTAAGAGGATAATAATTGGCATAAACCTTGTTTTATACAGTCTATGACTAGAAGGATTTTCTAAGTGAAGGGCTGCTGGAGGCACTCATATTAATGCCACACAAACCAAGCATTATATATTGCATGTTACAAGCTTGGGATGCAGGTTTAAGACCTTCAGTCCCTGTTTGTGCCTTTTTTATGGTATGAATAATGGAGCCAGTCCTGAAAGTTGTATTTCTTTAAGAGGCTAATGCTGAAGAACATTGGGTGGAACATTATTTTGATGCAACGCCAGAGAAGGGAATTAAATCTAAAACAAGACAGTAATATTTAATGATCTAGTTTGTGATAGGTATTGCCTAAACCTAAATTATATTTTAATAAGTGAGTTTATACGCCAGCAATTAGCCCTGCCCCTCCCCACAGCGGGGGAAGAAAAAAAACACCCCTAGACCTAAACAAAGGAACCATTCACTCTCCTCAATGCCTTCTGAGCTTTGAACCCTGCCTGTGTTTAAAAAAAAAATAGCTGAAGTTTTCCTGAAAATAGTGCAGTTGGTTATCCTTAACAATAGATAGGTCAGTGTTGTAAAATGAAAAGAGCTGAGGTGGCAAAAATATAAATAAATGGTGATATTTGCACACAAATTATATGCAAAGTTGTGAAAGATTTATATTGAGTCCACATAAAGAATGGAAACACTTCATTTGTAACACTTTCCTAAACATGTTTGCATGAAATTGCCACCAAGAAGAAGAGTGTGGACAGTTAAGGTATAGCAAGGGTAAGACCCTCAAAAGAAAAGGTTACTGTGATGTAGGGGTGGACTCTCACAATTCCATCCAGAATCAATTCTGTTTTCAATTAAGAGAAAGAGGGGCACTATATTTTGGCTCTCACTCCAAACCATTGTCCTTTTCCTCCTGCGCAGCAAATTACATCCGACAGTTAAATTACTGCCGTTGATGAAGGTCTTTGACTAACAGAAAAAGAAAGCAGAGGAAGGTGTGTGAGAGAGTACGTAGCTTATTTATTTATATAAATGTAACTGCATTAACTTATTACTGTCTAACTGGCCCCTTCTTACTGAAAATAATTAAATGAAAGTGTCATTTACTGACCAACATCACTGGCTGAATGTTTTATGTGGAAACAACCAGGTAAGTTAAGAACCTCCCTTCAAGAGGAAGACATCCTCTTGAAGGGAGGGATGCAGAAAATGAAAAATAAGATTAAGAGGGAAAATGAGATTAATGAGACATAACATGTGAAACGATACAAGAAGCATAACACAAACTCCACAATGGGAAACAGAGCAGCAAGGGTAACATGAATAAATTACACCATGGTGGAAGCATGCAATTAAAAAAAAAAAGTTATGAGTTAGAAAGATTTAAAAAAAAAAACCAAACCATAATGAGCTTTAAAAAAAAAAAAAAGACACAAGTTTTTAAAAAGGGATCAGGTTTTAAATTGACTGCAGACATCAGGGGAAAAAAATGTCTTAAAGAGATTTCCTGAAAGCAGATCCGGAGATGAAAGTGTCTAGTCTGCAGGGCTTTTGAATTGAAACAGACTAATGACAGAGTTATATTCTTTTCCAGACCGGAGTTGGTTTTAAGTTTCGCTTTACTTAAAACAGTCTGCAGGTGATAGGGTACAAAGCATTCAGAAAATGCTTCATGTTTGTCTCGCAAAGCTAATTATAAAGTCATTAAATCCAAAATGTGCCCAAATGCTGCCTTTTTAAAGATGAACTACAAACGCCGTACATGTCCTGGTGCTGCACTGTAGCCTCACTGTCCAGTTCTGCCTTTAGTATTCTGTCAACTTACAGTTTTCAACTAAAGTTATTACAAAAATCTATTTTTGGCAATTCTGAATTGATACAGAATTGTAGAAGATAAGAGTTGTGATTCCTACGTGTTCTTGGCAGCTGGCAGGGCAGCGTGGACACAAGAGACATTTCTTTTAGCCGCAGGTTCCGCTGTCATTAAAGAGTCCAGCTGTGTCTGGACACGGCTTACTGCAGTTTGAGACGCATTTTATTTTCATCCCAGTTAGTCAATTCCTGTGGATTTTCTGACAGAAACCAAACCCAGTGCCAGAAATTAATTTGGGCAAACATGCAGGGTCTTAATCAAGAGCCATGGGACACTTTTTTTTAAATCTCTCGTTTGTTTTGTTTCTGCCTCCAGGGGAAGAGATTAAAAATGGAGGAAAAGAACGATGACTGTTGTAAGTGGGCTTGGGGAAAAAAATGGATTTAAGACTACAAGTAGTGACAAGGTTTTACAAATTTCTCTTAAACAGAGGTCCTAAATTATTCATCCGAGCTTGTTTGTTCTTCATCTTAAAATAGAGATGCTGTATGTTTTAATGACGCTTTTCTCTGGAGATGAATACATTTCTCATTTTGAACTGAAAAGGCCAAAAAACAGTGAGCAGGGGAATCACAGCTTTAAATCTGGTAATGTCTATTTTGAACGATTCAGCTTGTTGTTTACACATTGTGTGATTTGTTGCCCACAGCTGACCGGTGCAAAGAGGTCCAGCAGATCCGTGATCAGCACCCCAACAAGATCCCCGTAAGATCTGAACACACACCACACTTCATCGCTCTTTAATACGCCACCCTGCCTGTGAAAGATGTCCGTCTGTTCCAGCATTTACAGATGCTCTTGTCCCTGCAGTGTAGAAAGCAGAGGACAGAGTGTGAGAGGCACAAGTAT